AGGCTATATAAGGTGTCATCCACAAATTATTTTACACATTACGGGGGAGGAGGGGGTCAACAAAGTTGATTGCGAATATTAGTTACGTGGCATTACATAATCCAATCCCACCTTTGGGTAATGCATTCTGTATATAAACTCATTAATTGACTCATAAACGAGCCCTAAAATTGTATTCCACAAGTTTGGTGATGTAAGAGACCGCTGGATCGTCGCGTCGTTGGTCACCAGTTGGACACCGACTCCTTATCTGTCAGTTGATAAAGCGAACGAACAGTGAAACGTGTGAATATAAAATGGGAGGCAAATACTGTCTTGTCTCATGTACAAACATGACATTGATAATTACGTATTAATATAATAACAAGTCGACTGTTACTTGATGCCATTTGACGTAACCTAACTGGACGTTACGAGAATTTTCCATATTTATTAATATTTTAAAGATGTAAGAGTGATTGTTTCTTTGCTTGACAAAGTAAAAATTATCTTTTAAAACTTAACACAAGTGCTTTTGAACTGTCCAATATTTTTACCTGCCATTCGTTTAGGCCGTTTTTCGGCTGAATGAGCAAGGAAAATATTTGTAACTATAATTTTAATTCAAATATATTTTTTTAACTAACTTTTATTAATTGTTACAAAAACACTGACTACGACCGATAGTTTCGACTTTCACGGGTGCTTTTTAACAGTCTAGACTAAATAAATGATTTTTATTGGATTTGATCATTACATTTAATACGTAAATATATTATTAAACTTAATAACAATTATGATAAAACGGACTCAAAAATCAACGAGGTAATCGTATAAAAAATGTTAAAACGACAATTTTTAATCTTATTAAATGGTTATAAAATCTATAAAAGCTGTCATCATGACATTTATTAGACAACATAACATTGCGAATCTTCAGACTTTATGTTGAACCACAGATAAGACTAATGAAAAGCAAGAATAGTCAATAACCATAGATAAATTTAATAGAGTTCCTTTTCCAAAGCACCAATTTATTTCACACTTGTAGTTATAATGTCTAACTGGATACTATTACTATATTGTTTTAGAAATAAACCATTTAATTATTAGCTTATATCAAAAGTAACTATATAAAAAACTATGTAAAATAAAAAAGGCAACTAATCGATTTTTCATGTGGATTCTCCAATAGGCAGAGTAGATATTTAAAAAGGATTTAGGAAAATGAATTCATAAAAGTTTTTTTATTAATTACTAAAATAGGACGGCAATGTCATCCGTTATTGTTATATACCACCAGTTTAACCATTTTATTTCTGCCAGTTGTAGCGCTCATATTCTAAATAACAAAAATGGCGGTTTTAAAGTGTCATGGGATACATCTAATAAGCGATAGGTAGATAATGTTAAAATAACATGTGGATTTTATCATAATAAAAAATATCTTTCCAACGTTAACAGACAACAAGTTGTCGGCTATAATTTTTTTATCGATGTAGTAGTAACATGAGGATAACCCAAAAATAAAGATAGGAAATTATCAGAAATCAGTTGTCTCCGTATAAGCTTGTCACACATGATAATATAATATTAACGATGATAAAGTATCGATCGATCATGTTTACTTTAAGGCGCATAGGTGTGTAGGTTACATGTTAGGAGAATTGAAACACGTGGCTCTTTCATAGATACCTCGACTCAACTAATGATTTCACAGTGTGCGATCTAAATGAACCTTTAATAAATCCACTATAAATAAACGAAGACAGTCTTTAACTCAAATTCACTCTTATTATACAAATTCAAAAAAATGCTCATCTGTACGTCTGTTAGGTACATTTTCACCACTAAACAGCTTAAAAGATTTTGAAGATATGTAATATTAAGATATTTTAAGACCTAGGGAAGGGCATAAGTTGGTATTTCTAAAATATCTTCAATACTCTGTGAATCACTTTCTATAATGAAAAATGCTTAAACGTGTATAATACCAAATCAATTTTAAATGGTCAATAGTAAGGATGACTTTTTTTTGGTCTGGCAGTCGGGTAAATTATTGAAAATATTAAATACTTTTTACCCGACCGCGCGACGCAAAGGGGGGTAATTTGTTTATCAGTCTATGTAGGTATATATGTTTGTTTCTATGTGGCGTTCTAGAGACCAAATGCGTATGCCAATTTTGATGATTCTTACGTCAATTGATTCGTCTTAACCTTGCGAGTGTCACTAAAGACATGACAGTAATCAAAATTCACCACAGCGACAACCAGAGGCCATATTGTCAAAATGAAAAAATCGGTGAACTATGTCAAGTGGGTGTCGTTGAATCATATTTTAAAATCATCTTTAGGTTTCTTTTATCACTTTTTCATTTTAAATAATAGTTTAGGATATATAACGTTTTAAAGTTGTTTAATAAACGATATTAACTCCCTCAATGAAAAGATTAGATTGCGAAATTTACTTGTACCATCTTAAAAAGAAGTCAACGAATCGTAACTAAAAAGTATAAAATAAAAAATAATTTAAAGAAAAACAAAAACTCGACTGCGTAAAAACAAATTTTAGAAAAGAACGACTCACAGTAGGGGCCCATTCAAATTTTACCAATCAAATCTTCCCAAGGGGCCCCGACTGTGAGTCGGTCTGTTCTGCATTAGAATTTATGATTTGTTTTATGTGTGTATCGATTAAAATTCGTTTTTACGTAGTCAGGGTTTTTGTTTTTCTTTAAAGGACATTGCTCAACGTCCATACATTGGTGGCCCCAGAGCTAAAAAAATATAGGAAAATACTTATTTTATTGTGTGTCACTAACTAATTCTCATTATGTATTTATTATACTGCGACCTAGTTTTAGAATTTATTATCACGCAAAATATAATTCATTTTGAGGTTATAATTTGTTTGGAAAATCACCAAGAGATGGCACTCTAAGTACATGATATAATATTGATGTCTATATTGTCGAAGCAAAAAAACTCAACTTTAAGAAAGTCGGTTTTTCGTTGAGATTTGTAAAAGTTTCTAAGTGAAAATAGACAAATAAATCATTCTAATAGTTAAATAATATACCTATTGATAAGCTTAAAATTAAAAAACCTATAGCTTTTTGATGGTTTACATCAAAAGATGGCGCCTTAAATACATAAATGACATGATGTTAATATGTTTACGAGAAATATAAAGGTAATGTAATAGAAACAAAGTAGTTTTTAGGATATGTCGTAAGAATATCAATCTTTCTGAATAAACAAGAGTGAATTATCAACAGTTAATGAATTTAGTTTGTATAATATTCAGTTTTTATGTCCTTATGTTTTAGTTGGAAAATCACCAAGAGATGGCGCTTTTAGTAAATTTAAGTTTATTTTCGGTCAATTTAATTTAAAGTTTTTGTGTTCGATGATTTAAAGGTTATCTAATAAAAATAAATGATCTTCTTGATCTGACGTGTAAATTACATCCATCTGACTCAATCGAATTTAAGTATATTGAATGTGAATATTTGCGAATAAAAATGTTACTGTTAAAGTACTTTTAAATATTAATTTTGGATCGCAGCTTGTCTGTGTCAAATAAATATTTGATTCCAATTTAATAAATTAATTAGTCATTATTTTGAAGTATTAATATTTAATGATATTGGGGCCATTTTCGGCGATGTCCTTTTTTTGCATTATCAATAAATTACGGCTATACGCACATTGAGTTGAAATATCGCATGAAATCACACATTTGTGCATATTCTAAATATTTATGATGTAGCGAGCCCCCACTCTTCAATTCTTTTGAATATTATGCAAAAAACGTATCTAATATTTTTCTATTATCTTACTGACTGAATAAATGGAATTTCTATATATATTGACCCACCCATCATCCCTTAAATGCTATATCATACATATAAAATAGTTAGTTATATAGCTATATTTTTATCCCGACGTTGTCACGGTAACATACCAGTTTCTGGCACGGCGAAGCATTTTCGGGTTTAGCTAGTCTTATATAAATATTATAAGAAGGAAAGATTTGTTTATTTATTTGCATTTAGTAAGCTCTGAAACTATTGGACCGATGTTAAAACTTCTTTCACCTAAGGGGAGACTACATTATAGGCTATAATTTATGCGAGTGGAGTCACCGCAAAACAACTATTTTTATAACTAATCGTAAAAAAGACAGCGGACCCAGACGGAATTGGATTTCTTGTTTGCTTTTATTGTAGCTTTTAATTGAGATATATAGTTTATCGTTTTGCAAGCACATTTTATAAAAACACATCAGAAAAATAATACGATAATATGCCTAAATAACTACCTTTTGCTGCTTTAAAGAGTAAAAAGTAACTAGCTCCTTTAGAATAATATAATGGGAAATTATTTATTCAACCAATTAACATATATCTCATTACCTTAAATCTGGAGACATTATCTGAATTCGGTTGTAAAAGGAATGTTGACATATTATTATATATCAAACAACAATAACAATAAAATGATCACTCTACAATTAATTTTGCAAACTAACATAATATAATGATAAACATATTATGACATTTCATATTACTAAGAATAATGAAAAGCTACACTTTGTTGGCAGTGTTATTACCTACAACATAAACAAACACATCGTATTTCAATTGTCAGTAGTAATATCGCGTAATTTTAATATAACAATCTCGACTTGTTTTTTTGTTTGCCTGTTGCTACGATAGTCGAACGACAGTATATTAATACTACTGCCTTAGAGTTCTGTAAATCTATCGGTAATTCTATGAAAACAATCGCTCTTGACCATGGTATTGGATTGCGTCGATTGTCAAAATTATGTGATATGATAACTTTGATCGTCTTAAGTCTTAATAGAAAAATATATATGTTTTTTATTTTTATTTCTATATACATACAATATACAAAGGATTGGCTGTGATGCATCAAGGAAAAAAATCAAAACTTTTAATTTTTTAAGGTTATTAGTATATTATTAAAATTGGATTAATACCAATACATCAACGTTATTGATGTATTACCTATTTGAACACTTCACTTGACTTCTTTACAATGTTTTCAAAAATCTTTCTCAATTGTTTCAGTTTGACCGCGTTGACAGCAAGAAACATGTTCTTCATTTATCGGACGACGTTAAGATTTAAAACAGACCTTGTATTAAACCGCAGATAGGAGTGACAAGAATGGTCTTCCACAATAGATAATAATCTATAATAAATCTTTTGTAACAGCGCCATTTTACATAACTAACATCGAGCGATTCCAAACTACTCTCCATTTCTTTACAAATAAGTCTTGCATATAACAACAAAGTACAATATATATATTACTTAATTTAGTAAACTTGAGCTTTAAGCGCTAGTTACATTCATATCCTACGACAATACATTTAGATTTAATAGAGAAAATATTACTTCATAACCATATCAGATATTCAGCTGCCTTAATAAAATATTTATAGAAACAATAGTATTAGAAGTGCCAAAGTTTACTTGGAAAAATGTCTCACGGTGGTGTGAAGAGTAACAAGAATGGAAACGCGCAGACGGTGGAGTCGCCGACGAGGGAGGGTCTGGACAGTCCAACTCCTCCACCGGACGGCGGATGGGGATGGATGGTAGTCTTTGCCTCGTTCATGGTCCACATTGTCAGTGAGTACACAATTATTTTATTTAAATTATTACAGATTTTTCTTTTAAATGTCCTTGTTTATTCTGAACAACTTGTCGAGTAGTATACGTAGTAAAGACTTTGATTAAAACATTTTAAAAGAATAATCAATATTTTTTAGCATAGCAATTTAATTGCAAAAGCTATCAGATATAATAACTTATGAATGTCAAGGAAGGCAAAGATATAGAAGAATGTAACCAAATATGAGATAGAATCCTTATATCTTCTTAAATTATTCCTAATAAGGGTAAATTTATAAATTGTAAATAAATTTGCGTTCGTTTTGTGAATTCACTTAGTCTATTTCAAAATGTACTAAAATTTCTATAAAGAATAATTAAGAAAGTAATATCAGTATTATATTTTAACCACTTAATTTTCTCTGCGTAATTAAAAATAGAGAAGGGTGTTTGTTTGTCTCTCTCTCACGTTGCAATGGAGCGTCGATACAGTATGGATGTTGTATGAAAATAGTTTGAACGCTGGTAACTGACGCAGGCCACTTTTTGGCGCAACAACTAAACTACCACTTGAGTTAGTTGCATCGGAATTTTAGTTTAATTATGCACATAAAATATTAAATTCAAATCCATCAATATCAACAATACTAACTATAACGTTACATAAAATTGTATATACAATTATCTCTTCTCATAATGATAGGATTATGAATGTTTTAATTTACTTATTTTTGTTTGTATTTTAAATGTGATAAATTTTTGACCACCGATAAAATTTGCATTTACATAAAATTATGAGTATGACACTAATGATTATCAAAAACTTTTTTATTTTTATTGTTTTTTAAATAATTAACGAATATTTCATACCATCGTCTTTATCTTAGTCATCGGACGGACAGACGCGCACTCTTATATGACCTTTTGCTATAACCGTGAACTTCATCGTACCCTAATCTACCCTACAAGATTAATACAAAGGAAACGTTTTGTGAAATATAATCCGTCATTTTGTTACAGCGGCCATTTTGAATTAACAACAATACCGAGTTTAATTTTAAAGTTTCTAAAAGTAAGAAGTCTGGTAAATAGTGGGCTTTGTTGGGAACGACTTAAACATAAATACAACGTTGTCGTCAACAATGACACTGCAAACTCCACAGCAAAGATGAAAACAGACTGTAAATTTTTTTCAATTTTAAACCATTCATAAAAAAGTCGATTCAAAAACAAAGGTGGGTAACAAAATAAAATTAAGAAATTCTAGTACTTTTTTGGTTTTGGAAGAGTATCTAAATATAAATCTATAATATAAATCATCTGACTTCAAATGAAGTTTTTTTTTCATTTCTCAATCGATTTTAGAAGAATAAGTTTTCAAATAACTCATTTTGTTTTGTTAAATTGATTTTAGTTAAAATATATGTGTATTTGTTTACAAAGAAAGTGTGTATTTATTTATTAATATACACAAAACACAAACAAGATTTTTTTTCCGAATAATGAAGATGTCATGAAATATAGTTACAAAAAAAATATACGACAGAATTAAAACCATATTTTTTAAACTTTCAAAAAATATATCTATTACGATACTACAAAGCGGTTGGATGAAGGGTATGCTTGAATTGCTCGAAGCGGAACTCGAACCTTTTGCCGAACAACCAACAACAATCATATTATTAAACTTTTAATGTAAATTGTTTCATAGATATTTAGATAATCTACTCATTAATGATATTTAACCTCTTTAAAAAACTTTCTATACAATGACGTGTACTATTTGAAATAAGAATGAAGAGATTAATTGAACTCGCTCGTCTATTGACGTCAGTGAGCCATATTTTTTCATTGCTATAATGTCTCAATTTTCCTTTGGTTTCTAAATTCACGCCCCTCCCGCAAGCTCTTACATTTTTCAACCAAACCTTTTTTTCTTTCATAAATCAGTACCTCATTATGCTACCTAAACAGCCGAAAGAAAAATATACAAATATTAAACTTTCGATGAAGGTTCTAATACTTTTTGTTATAATATAAATGATCTATATAGCATTGTGAATATAAAATGTATCGAATTTAATAGATAATAAGTTACACAATAACTTTATTCACTTAAAATATTATTTTTGACCAATTAACAATTATCTGATACGAAGGACAAGCCTTTACCAACTGTTTAATTACAGCCCAATTTAACCTCAGCAAACAGTATGGATACTTATTTTATTTATTATGGCAATTTATATATTTGTATTAAAATCCTAATTAAGTAGTTCATTAGCATACTATTTTTTACAACTCGGCGAACTATACTATTCTCTAATATTTATTGTAATATGATAACAATTTCATTCGTAATTTCGTATTAGCATCGGCATGCAAATATTAATTTAGCAGTCAGGAACTGCGTTTTCTTATGACAGCTAAAACCTTTATTACCCTTTAAAGGAAGGTTTTAGCTGTCTAATGAAAACGCTATATATTTGATTAAACATCTGCAATGACGTGACATGACTCCGTGCATGAGATATTTCAGAACGCGATGCAGATTAATTTTAGAAATACTTATTATTTGTGATAAGCATTCCTAAAATGTTACTTATAAAAAAAAAACAAAGTTCCATAAAGTATTATATTTCTTCGCAATAACTTAAATAAAATTATACTGTTTGAATTATATCATTTCAAAAAATAATAATAAAAAAATGAACATGTAATGTAGAACAAATCTTCTGTATAATAATAAAAAAACAGAGATTTAAAAAACTTATTTGTGATTTATTCAACGGCACTATCAGTGCATAACTGTTTGTCTATACTATAACAATGACGCAAATATTAAGGGAATTTCTGTTAAATAGTCATTTTATAAATATTGTTCAACATTTTACGTGCTAAATAATAATACATGTGTCCACATATTTTACACCTAATATAAAATCTTATAAATTTAATGGTAAGTCACGTTGCCGTCTACGCTTTTATATCACAGTGTAGCAAGTTTTATAAAGGAACTATAGACGAAAATAAGTCACCTTCAACCATGAAGAGTACCGGAAAACGTGCACAGAAGTTACACGTTTTGTTTGAATGGAAAAGGATACGAGTTGGATTATTGAAGTATCTACTTATAGAATATTCGTTCCTGTTTCGTACCTTATTTACGATTACGCAGAGTTTAGTGCGTTTTGTCTGTGATGTGAAAGTTAAGTAACTTTTGCAAAGGCCAGTCATAGGATGGATGACAAAATTTATTATCTTGAAATCTTCCGGGCTTTGCAAGGCACGTGAACACGTCTAGGCCGCATCTGCAGTTGTTAACCACCAATCTGCACTTTGCGCGAGTAATGGTCATGGTCATGGCCCATTTACCCTATTCGATTTCAGATTAATGGATTGGTGTTTATGATATTTTACTTGAATATCACATTACATAACATATTGCTCAAATTACGAGATAATAAAGCTCATGCATTCCAATTTCAGAAATCATTAGTTAAAATTGAGTAGGATTTGATTGAAGAAGAAAAAAATATTGCAAACAAAACAACTTCCAAAATGCGAAAAATAATACTCTCGCCTTTAGTATGTGGTCATAACAACATTGATTTGCGTGGAGATTTCATACAGGCTGTTAATTTAACCACCCGATTTTTATTTATTATTTTTAGTTATGTTTAAAATTTATGTTAACATAAATCTTCTTTGATGATATAAATATCTATATCTTCTAAACTTTTTATTTGACATAAACATAGCAGTTTTATTGTTATATGATTTCAATAAAATCCTTATGTGACCACCTCAGCCACATAACCATAGAAATAAAATAATTTAAAATCGATTTACTATTCGCGGCGAAATTTTGATGTCTGTTAATTACAGTTGTAGAAACACACATAATATTGACTAGACCAGTCCCCTACTATCGAACGCAATAGCAATCGATCGACATTGCAATTGATTGAGTGTCTTATCAGAATCAGCTTTAGCGTTACAACTCTCAAAATTTCCAACTTAAATATATCCATTTTCACTGACGGACGTTGTGGTATGTTTCATTTGCCTACTGTAAATCGTTTCAAAACACAAGGAATGTATATAGCCTTATTCAGGGATGTGGGTGAAGTATGTGACCGCTATTTATTACGACCGTTATATCTTCTAAAGACTGAATAAATTGGGTTCGGAACGATCTTGCACGAGGTTTATGAACAAACAATTTTTACCGTCCTTTTTAGAGTACCCAAAGGGTAAAACAAAAACCCTATTACTAAGATTTGGCTGTCTGTCTGTCTGCAACCAGGTTGTTTCCCATTAACCATGAAAGTTAGACAGTTGAAACTTTCACAGATGATGTATTTCTGTTGCCGTTCCAACAACAAATAACCTGAATAAAATATATATTTAAGGGGACTCACATACAAACGTGATTTTTTTGCTCGTTTCCGATATGGAGCTCTTTGTGCGCGAGTTCGACTTGAATTTGACCGGTTTTTTTTTTAATTTCTCAGTTACGATATACGTAGTTTATTAAACGATTGCATGTAAAGGATGATTGCAAGAAAAGGATTGCATGTATACGTTTATCTTTAATTTTCCAAATATTTTACAGCCGCTATCGCTACGAGAAAGCACAGTGGGAGTTCCACTTTCAAATTGGAATTGGAAAGATATTCACGAACTTCACACGTGAAAGCGGTTGCGATGTTTTTGGAAATAATTAACGATATCGTTAATTTATCGTTAATTGGATTTGTCTAAAAAAAGAGTTAAATGCATATATTACTGTTAAAACCTATTGAGAGATGTCAATTGAAAGAATTAAATGCTAACTGTAATCTTTAGACAGTTTAGGCAAGTTTTTATTATGTTTCTTGATCATTCGAATCATCATTCGTCCCGATAGCGATTGAACCTTTAAAAGTTACTTAAATCCATAAATCGCTACAGCTTTGAAAGGGGTGGGGATAGATTTTAAAAATAGTCAATTAGCCCACTGATTTTCGTGTTAT